ATTTCAATCAGATCCCCTCTCATCCTTCTGAACTGTAGTGGATATGCACCCAGTCAAACTTCTCCTCGCAGGACTGTTATGTCGTCCGCAGTATCAGACGAATGAACCCCCTGCTGCATTCCCTCTATGGCAAGTGTATCTTTTCTTGTTATCCGTTGCTTGTATTTTGAGCTATCTTAAAGCGGAAGTAGACTGACACTTTGCAGGACCGAAAGCTACAATCAATGAGTGTTATTCTCTTACAATATAAAATATTTGTTTCCCCTTGTGTTAGTATTTGTGCGAATGTCCTAATAAATGCAAGATAAAAAGCTTGGACTTTTTTTTTCACAATACTCAATATTTCAATTAATGGAGGTGGCTGTGTGTTGTATCAGGGCTGCAATAGTGAGGGAGCAAATGGCAATAAGTGATGTTCGGTAGAGTAGTTGATTTTTCCCAATTGAGCCAAAAGAAATGGAGTAGTGATGGTTCCATTATGATAATTAGCATCCAAGAATTTGGAGGGCAGTACAGCCCTGCTGCCTCTCAGTGCCAGAATGTGGAGGTGCTGGTGTTGGACTGGGGTGGACAAAGTCAGAATTCACATAACGCTAGGTTATAGTCCAATAGGTTTATTTTAAATCACAAGCTTTTGAAGAACTGCTCCTTCTTCTGGCTTTGTCGCAGTGCCAGGGACCCGGGTTTGATTACAGTCTTGGGTGACTATCTGTGTGGAGTTCACATGTTCTCCCCATGTCTGTGTGGGTTTCTAGTAGATGCTCCAGTTTCAGGCTACTGTCCAAAGATTCACAGGTTAGGTGGATTGGCCATGCTAAATTTCCCCATAGTGTCCAATCCATATCTCAATACAGAGTATTAAAGTGTTGCTGAAATTGAGACTATTCATACACTGAGTTGGACAAAGCCAATGGTTTGTTCTGTGCCCCTCAAGTCTGAGATTATCATGTGTTCTTTATGCCTTGTGAAACTATATTAGTAGAGGCAATGCTGCCACCATGGATTCTATTCTCTATGGAATCTGGCTGCCATTGATTTATTATTAGAAGACGTGACACTTTTACATGGTTTTATGCAAGACACTTTAGCAGAACAGTGACTTCTGAAACATGGTCATGTCTCCAAAGTAGCTGTTATTATAGAATCGTACAGTACAGGGGAGGCCCCTTGGCCCATCTATTCTTCAAAGAGTCATTCAGCAAGAAAACAAACCCTTTGGTCCAACTCATTCATGCTGACCAAGTTTCCCAAAGTAAACTTGTTCCACTTGCCTGCATTTCCCATTATCCCTCTAAACCTGTCCTATTCATGTACCTGCCCAGTTGTCTTTTAATTGTTGTAACTATACCTGCATCTACCACTTCCTCTCGCAGTTCATTCCACATACAAACAACCCTCTGTGAAAAAGTTGCCCCTCAAGTCCCGCTTTAAGTCTTTCTCCTCTCACCTTAAAAATATGCCACCAAGTTTTGAACTCACCCACCCTAGGAAAAAGACCTTTGCTATTCACCCTATCTATGCCTGTTTTATCTATTTTCTTTTGTACCTTATACTGTTAGCGCAGAATACAGTCTCATAATGCAAAAATATTAATACTGACTTCTGTAATATTGACTTTTAGTGTACTTTACACCATCTTACCAACTGAAAGTATTATCTTGTGTATGCTACTGTATCATAGTGATTAGTACATTACCCCACTAAAAGAATAACGCTATTTAAATAAGCTTTTGGGTTATAGGATTGTACGCCTTGTGTGCTTGTCTGTGGATTTCATGAGGCTACAATTTATTCCATTTGGAATGTGTGTTCTGTGCTGAGATGATCATTGGCTAGGAGACAAAACACTCAGCAACTTTTGTTACAATTAATGAATTAATGACCCCTCTTCAGTGGTTACAGGAAGAGGCTCTCATATGCTTTGAGATGAGACCAGATTTTCTCACCTACATGATGCTATCCATGCTTGAATAACTTGCTAGCACTAACTGTCTGCTTCAGCATGAAGATTGAACAGTGGTTTCAAGGGCTCAGGTGTCTAAAGATCCAGATGCGAGCAGGAAATTGTTGGGAAAAGTTGTGGACCTTTTTTTAATTCATTCGTGAGACATGGGAGCCGCAGGCTGGCCAGCATTCAGGATGGTCAGTGGCTTTTGAAGGGGAACTTGCGGGTGATGGTGTTCCTAGGTTGCATGCTTCTTGTCAGCCCAAGTCCAGATACCATCCAGGTCTTGCTGCATTTGCTTGCACTTACACTTGCTTCAGAATCTGAAGTGAACTGTCCTGAACATTGTGCAACTATCAACGAAACCCCCACTTTAATTATATAGAAGAAAAATCTTCTTTGTTTTAAATGTATTGAATGAATAAAAAATATATTCTCTTGTTTGAAATTCTAAAATATTGAAGAAACAATGAATTAGATCTTGGGTACAGTTGAGTTGCTGTTCACTTGCACTCTGGTAGTGGATTCCATGGAAACTGAGCATTCTTGAAATAGTCTGTTCAGAAGGAGTCGTAATAAGTCTGTACACATTGATTGGGGCTGGCAGGATGTTGGCAGAGTGGAAGGATGAAGATCCTCACTGACCATTACAGCATTCAATGAGCTCGTCAGAGCTAGAATCATAACTAGTAATGTCAGGAAAGAAGGAGAATATTAAAGCTCTAATCCTGCTGTCTCCCTTTGCCCCCTCCCATATCCTTCCTCCTGGAACACAAGCACTTTAAGTGAGATGAGGTGTCTGCTATTAGAGCAAGTTACTGAAACTGAAGAAGCTTCTGATCCTGTTTGCTAAATATTTGATTGTGTTGATAGATTGTTTAGCTAATTCAGCTTCGTTGGAGAATGTGATCGGATTGATGCTGCTTGAGAGGATTTTACTTAAAATGATCAGTAGGATTCCTCTTTTATCCAGCATTTACCACACAGTAATTTCAGGGAGAGGTTTGTTAGAATCCAGTGTGCTGTGCAATAAAGCTTATTCTGTCTATTTTACTGCTTTCTCAATGGAGGCGTTTTTTTTAATGAAATAGGCAATGATTTTAATTTGAATCATTCTGTTCAGGAGAGAGAAGTGTTCATTTATTTGAAAAAGAAATTTAAATTTGAAAGCAATTTGTATTTCAGTTCCTGTCAACTAAGGAAATACAAGTAACAGGAATATTTAGTTGTGAGAATGGTGTGAACAAAGTTGCATTTTTGGCATTCTGTAGAATGGTTACAGCACAGTCGAAGACAATTTGGTCCAGCCTGTCTGTCTGTCTGCAACGTCGATTCAGTTAGTCCCACTCCTCCATCTTTCCCCTCAACATTGATGAAGGGTCTAGGCCCGAAACATTCTAGATCCTAACTGTTTGTTATATGTTGATTCAGGATTAATTATTTTCTTTGCAGAGAACTGGACAAGGATGGACTTGTATGTGACGGTCTTTGACATTGTTTTTCTTTTCATATAATCCTCTTTGCTTCCTCCGTACTTTTTTCCTTTTTCCATTCCTTCTCATTCTCAGTACTCAAAAGGCGGGTGGGAGGAGTGAGCAGATAGATGCGGACGCTTCTCCCCTCATACCCCCTGCCTTCAGCATATACACCACCTTTTCCCAGCTACTATCAGTTCTGAAGAAGGGTTACTGGGCCTGAGATATTAACTCTGTTTTCTCTCCACACATGCTGCCAGATCTGAGTTTCTCCAGTAATTTCGATCTTTGTGTCATCTTGCTTTGTCTGTGTTGAAGCTATTTGCTTGTTTTTTTCTGCCACTTGGCTTCTATCTCTCTTTCCTTGTTGTGGCATCTTTCAATTTACCATCTTACCATTTTCTGTTCGTTCGTCCTTTTGTACTGTCCCCTTTCTGTGTCTAGTTCATTTTGACTTTACACAATTGTGCTAATGGGATTTTAGTGCTACTGGGTAAGGGGCTTGAGAATTCAGTATATTTTGTTTCATTTTTTCAAAAAAAATGTATTTTAGTTACTCCTTGAGGGGGTTAAAAATACTAATATTGCAAGAGATGCAAAATAACCCATGCACAACTTGTAAAGGAAATGGTTGATAGGAAGGTTGATGTTAATTCCTTCTCCCTATATCATTAAACTAATTTCAATTCCACCTTGCCATTTCTCTGTTCCTGATTTTGTCAGTGCTAAATAATTTAAGCAAATATACATATTTGGAAATGCATTGAGGACATGAGTTATGCAGTATATTAGAACACCGTTTACCTCTCAAGACAGTACATGTTTAATCTGGACTGAAAACTTGGCTGGATGATAGGATGCATAATGTCAGTTCAAAGCACTTTTAACCCAGTAGCTTCTGGACACCATTGGAGAACATGAAACATACCTAGATATGGATGAGGAAAGGTGGAGGAATCTAAAGTTGGGCATAAACACAATATGAATATTTTAGACTAAAAGGTCATGTGTTGTGTATAGTTTCTCCCCCCCAAGCCTGCAACAAAAAAGCCTCAGTTATATTACAGCCATTGCACAACCGTTTGAGGTAATCTACCCTTCACCAATTCTGACCTCTTGTGTATCCATAATTATTATTGCTCCACTTCTCTCCCCTCCCCTTCCATCCCTTTGTCTCTGTCTCTCTCAATCTCCCTTCTCTCTCTCTCACTGTCTCTCTCTCTTTTTCAATATTACTTCTCTGAAGCACCTGAGGGCATTTCAATGCATTAAGGTGCTATATAACTGCAATTGTTTTTGGTCTACGTAGACACTTAGTCCTATGCTATGGCATTGGTTCTTAACGCTCTCAAGATAACTAGGGATAAGAAATAATGACAATCTTCCCAGTGCCAGTTAGGTTTTGGAAACGAATCACTGGGTTTAATTAATGTTCTGCTTTGTAGTTAATGCATTTCTGTTTTATATTCTAGCAGTTACCCTTTGGGACATCTTTTAAAGAATGATTGGGCTTCGGATTAAGAATATAAAATTTCTGTAACTTGGTTCAGTAAAATGTTATGTTTGTCTTTTAATTTCAGGTGGAGGTTGAGGTGGAAAGCATGGATAAAGCTGGTAATTTTATTGGCTGGCTACACATAGATGGGATCAACCTTTCTGTCGCTCTTGTGGAGAACTCTCTCTCAAAGGTGCATTTCACTGCAGAGCGGAGTTCCTACTACAAAGCACTTCTATCAGTTGAAGAGCCTGCCAAGTTGAAACGGGAAAAGGTAAGGAGTGAATTGAAATATTTTTTTTTTACTGAAAAATCATTTAAACTTCTAAAACGCAACAAGTATCTATGCTTATCATGATGTCCATTGGATAGTGAGTGGTGAACAATCCACCTTCGATATAATGCACCCAGACCTGTCTAGTTTAATCTTTGAGGTGGTGCATAAACAAAACAACTTGCACTTTGCTTTACACGTCTTGAAAATTTTGGACATTCTCTGAAATGTTTATTTTCACTTAAAATTAGTACTAGAATTAACCTTTATTGCCACATAGACTCAATGAGTAAAGTGAAAAGTTTATACGTCACCACTTCCAGTGCTGACTTAGGTGCAAGGATACCGAGGTAAGCTTCTTTAGTTACAAGATCTTAGACAGTAGAGAAGTAAAATGTCCAGCATTGCAGAAATAGAAGTTCAGAACAACAGACCACACTGATACACAGCGTCCAGTCCACATTGAGTCCCGGCCCCAGACCACACTGGATTCACCTTAAGGATCATGAGGCTGGGAGATCGGCACAGACCGCCAAGCTAGGCTGAGGACACCATGCCGGGAGGATGCTATTGCACTGTGCTGGGAGGCCACTGCGTCAGGCTGGGAGTTGTCACTGGAGATCCAGGAATTGTCACTCACCAGAGGCCAGGAGTCATCGTCTGAGGCTGAGAAAGAAGTAGAAGAAAAAAAAACACTAATAGGAAGAAAAGAGAAGATAAAGAAGAAGAAAAGAACAGGCAAAGCGGACAAGCTCTGGCTGGAGCATCATGCTCCACTGCCATCTTGGAAGGTAAGACTATTTTAAAAAGAACTATTTTAAAAAGAACTATTTTAAATAAAAGTGAACAGTGTTCGGGGAGTCTGACTCATAACCAAAACCATTTGCATGACTACTGTGGTAGGATTATGCAATAGATTTCAGCATCTCATCACTTGAGAGTATTTCTTGACTCTGAATAATAGAAACAGCTGTTCACACATATTTGACCTTACCTTCTCTCATAATTCAAATCCCTAAGTCCACAGCAAGTTAGGTTTATGTGAAGTAGATATCCAAAGATGTTTTCAAGAAGCCAAGTTTTGCAATTGTTCATTTGACTTTTCAAGTATAAGCCTAGAATTGCAAAGATGTAACAGATACCATGAATACATTTGAACAAGTCTTCAGTATTCCCCGCAACGTGATGGCAAATTAAGAAATTAATTTCAACTCAAGCTGGCCAGAAAACACTTTATTTTATTGCTTTGCCATCCATATGTCTTCCATCCTTGTTACTCAAGGGAAGTTATTTTGATGCACTCCTTTAGTTCTTTACCTCACACTGTCTGTTTCATGTCCCAGCATAGCCAGATGCTGTCAAATTGCAACTCTTCTGCAGCACCTTTTTCCCCACCCTTCATGCAGTCTTTTCCCCTCCCCTCCCCTCATGCTATCTCCTCCCCTCCCCCAGTCTCCTCCTCTTACTCCCTACTAACTCTTGTCACCATTTGTTCCTTCGCAGCATACTTCTTCATAGTTCTTGCAGCCTCCTACTTCTACCAGCAAACCCCCCATCCAAACCTCAGACAAGGCAGAGGGCCCTTGGCACCTGAGAAAATATGACTCTGGTGACTGCTTCCTGACTGCTACTTATCCAAATGTTCTTATTAACCTGTTGAGTGATGTTATTGCACACCTCTGGTGCAGGTGGGACTTGAATCCAGGCCTCCCACCCCAGGGATAGGGACACTAGCACTGCACCACTCGACAGCTCCTGCTACTTAGCTAATTGGGGCTATTTCTAGCCCACATTTGCTGATAGATTCATTGGTGACACGATCTGACCTTTCTGAAAAAGGGTCGCCGGACCGGAAACTTTAACTTTGGAATCTGTCCATAGGTGCTGCCAGACATAGAACAGTACAACGCAGGGACAGGTCTTTCGGCCCACCGTGTCTGTGTTGACCATGATGCTACTGTAAACTAATCCCATCTGCTTCCATATGTTCCATATCCCTCTATTCCCTGTCTGTTCCTGTCTGTTTAAATGGCTCTTAAACTTCACATCTGCTTTCCTGGTTTCCGATACTTACTACCCTCTGTGTCAAAAAAAACTTTCCTTGCACATCTCGTTTAAACTTTTCCCCCTCTCACCCTAAACCTATGCCCCCTCCCTACTTAATATTTGACATTTCCACCCTGAGAAAGAGACTCCAACTAGCCCTATCCAGGCCCCTCATAATTTTATATGCTTATATCAGGGTGCCCCTGGGCAAAAATAATCCAAATTTGTCCAACCTGTCCTTGTAGTTTATACAATTCCAACCCAGACAACATTCTAATGAATCTCTTTTGCACTCTCTGCAAAGCCTCCACATCTTTCCTATAGTGTGGCAACTAGAATTGTGTACAGTAATTCAAATGTGGACTGGCAATAGTCTTATACAGTTGCAACATGGTTTTATATTCAGTGCCCTGACTGATGCAGACAATCATCCCATACATCTTTTTTTTTAACTACCTAATCCACTTGTGTTGACACTTTCAGGGAGCTATGGACTTAGACCCTGAGATCCCACTGTATATCAAGGCTCCAAAGAGTCTGGCCATTTACAATATACTTTCCTCTTACGTTTTACCTCCCAAAATGCATCACCTTTCACTTGTTTGGATTAAACTCCATCTGCCATTTCTCTGACCAACTTTCCGGCTGATCTATATCCTGCTGCATCCTTTGATTCCTTCCTCACTATTCACATCTCCACCAATTTTCATATCATCTGCAAACTTAATAGTCAGATCATGACATTTTCATCCAAATCAATTATACATATAGAAACAACAGAGGTCCCAGCACTAATCCTTGCAGAACACCTTGGTCACAGAACTGCAGTCAGAAAAAGACCCCTCCACAACCACTCTCTGTCTGCTATAGCCAAGCCAATTTTGTAGCTAACTTGCCAATTCACCATGGAATTCATACGATTTGATCTTTTGGACTAGCCTACCTCAAGGGAACTAGTCAAATGCTTTAGTTAAGTCTCTGTACACAACATCCACTGCCTTCCCCTTGTCGATCATTATCGTAGCTTCCTGAAGACCTGCAGGGTTTCTCCAGCAATTTCTGTTTTTCTTTTGGGAAAGAATCAGGCGAGGATGTACAATGTACTCTGTGTGGGGGATTTTAATGTCCCCACCAGGAGTGGCTTGGCAGCAGCACTACTGTTCAAGTAGTTTGGGTCTAGACTGGGTCTTGCTGCAGAAGGTAAGGGAAACAACAAGAGGGAAAAACATATTTGATCTCATCCTTACCAATCTGCTGGGTACAAATGCATCTATCCATGACAGTATTGATAAGAGTCATCACTCCAAAGTCCTTGCAGAGATAAGTCTCGCGTTCACATTGAGAGTACCCTCCATTGTATTGTATGGCAGTAAATGGGACAGATTTCAAACAGATGTACCAACTCAAGACTGGGCATCGATGAGGCACTACGGGCCATCTAAAGCTGCAGAATTGTACCCCAGCACAATCTCCAACCTCATGGCACAGCATAATCCCATTTGACTATTACCATCAAGTCAGGCGATCAACCATGGTTCAATGGAGAGTGCAGGAGGACAGGCTAGAAGCTGCACCAGGCATGCCTTAAAAAGAGGTGTCAACCTATTGAAGCTACCAAACAGGATGACTTTGATGCCAAACAGCATAAGCAGCAAGTGATAGACAGTGATATACTGACAGAAGTGATCCCACAAAAAACACATCAGATCTAATCTCTGCAGCCCGGCCACATACAGTTATGAATGATGGTTGGACAATTAACTCACTGGAGGAGGAGGCTCCACAAATATCCACATCCATAATGATGGGAGAGCCCAGCACATAGTGCAAAAGATAAGATTTGCAGCAATCCAGGCAGAAGTGCCAAGTGAATGATCCATCTCAGCCTCCTCCAGTGGTCCCCAGCATCTCACATATACCAGTCTTTAGCCAATTCGATTCATTCCAGGTGACATTGAGAAACAGTTGAAGGCACTGGATACTCAGAAGGCTATGAACACTAACAACATTCTGCAACAGTACCAAAAGGTTGTGTCTCAGAACTTGCTGTTCCCCAAGCCAAGCTGTTCCATTACAGTTAGAATACTGGCATCTACCTGAAAATGTGAAAAATTGGCCAGGTATGTCCTTCACACAGAAATCAGAACAAATCAAACCCAGCGAATTACTGCCCTATCAGTCTACTCTTGGTCAAAAGCAAAGTGTTGGAAGTGTCATCAATCATTCTATCAAGCAGAACTTGTTCAGAGACACCCAGTTTGGGTTTCACCAGCGCCGCTGAGCTCCTGACTTCATTGGGTCCAAAAATGCAGAAGCACTGGATTCCAGAGGTGAGGCGAGAGTGACAGCCTTGATATCAAGGGTACATTCAACTCTGTGTGACAACAAGGAGCCCCCAACAAAACTGTAATCAGTGGGAATCGGGGGCAAACTCTTGACTGATTGGAGTTGTACCTGACACGTCAGAAGATGCTTGTGCTTGTTGGAGAGCAGTCATCTACAGGAGTTCCTTAGATTCATGTTCTAGGCCCAACTGTCTTCAACTGCTTCATCAATGATCTTCCCTCCATCATAAGTTCAGAAGTGGGGATATTCATCAATGATGCATGATGTTTAGCACCATTTGCAACTGTTCAAATACTGAAGCATGGTCTGGACAAGATGCTGGTTTGGGCTGACAAGTGGCAAATAATACACACACCAAACAAATGCCAGCAAATAACTACCTCCAGTAAGAGACAATCTAATTACCGCCCCTTGACAGTCAGTGGATCATCACTGAACCTCTCAGTATCACCATCCTGGGGTTACTATCGACCAGAAACTCGACTGGTCTCAGCACATAAACACAGTGGGTTACAAAAGCAGGTCAGAGGCTGGGAATTTTGCAGCAAGTAACTCACCTCCTGACTCCCCAAAGCTTGTCCACTCTCTACAACAACACTCAAGAAGCT